CTTTCAGAGATAAGACTGACAAAAGCAACAGAAGATCAGATAGCTGCAAACAAGTCTGCAGTCAGACATGGATCCAAAGGTACTCAGAATAATTCAGACAGTGAAATCCAATATGTCAGTGAATAGGATCCTAATCATGAGGATCGTAACACCTGTCACACACTGCATGCACATCTGGACCTGCCTGTCCTCTGCTTCACACATGGGGGGTGGATTGCTCTTACAAATTGTCTGCAACAGGTGAACAGCGCTCTGAGTAGCCGCGGGGAGCCTGGGGGGGCTCTGCAGTCCAGCATGCTGTCAGCGGCTCATTGCAGAACCCTTTTGCTGCTGGATGTTTGATAAAGCCTGCCAGCGCCATATTAATGCTGAATAAATTACAACACATTTTCATCAATTCCCAGAATTTAAATGGCGCGAGCACATCTCCCACAGGAACAGCGCCACTCTGCAATTAGCACCCAAATTGTTCATGTGTTAGCTACACTAACTTTTACCTCTATTCATTAAATCCATGCTCTGTTTTGTAGCCACAGTGGTTATCTAAAAGCAAAGGACCAATACTCCTGTTTGGAAATAACATATGTGAGTGAGAGACCCCGTGTTGCTCGTACTTATTAGGACCAGAATTTGTGATATAAGGGCACTCGGCGAAAGCGGTTTATTGTACTTTTATCCCTTTCTCTAAAGAGGAATGGTGTTATTGGCAGTGGTAGAAGAAATACTCAAAAGTAAAAGTGTTAACTATACTACTAGTAGTAATTAGTAGTGCTCAGTAAGAATCCTACATTCTAATGTTTACTTGAAGTAAAGATGGAAACAACCATTATCAGCACAATATACTTATACTTATACTTAACTAGACATCTATTCAAATAAGAGCTGTCAATTCAAACATGGTGCTGGATAGTTGAATGAATGATAACGTATTATATTTCTAGTTGCTGAGAAAGATCTGAATCTGCATCGTAACACACGGAAGTACCGTGAATAAATGTACAGCTGCTTATGGCCCCTTTTAGTGAGGAGCCACATGTTGGCTACATCGTCTCAGGGTGGACTCTGCCCCTGCTTGGTGTTTATGTAAACCAGACGAGAGGCCTTTTCCCACCGAAGGACCAGCCGTGTTGAGAGTGTAATTGTTTGTATGAAAGGAACTGAAGAAGGCAGCAGCACAGGTCAAGCATTCAGCACTCACCAGCCCCGCTGAGTTCAGATAAATACAGCTTACTCTTTATTCAGGACACATAACAGCTGCACAGGTTGCATCTTTCAGTTACATCTGAGGGAAATTTCTAAAAGTTTGACTGTTGAGCTGAACTTTTAATTAAACGATTCTCAGCCACAGTAAGAGGGAAATCACTTCCACATCCACACGCGAAAAAGGGAAGATGGAAGAGATTTTTGCAAAAGGGAAAGAACATAAAAACTTTATAGTAAACAGTATTGTTCACTATGACTCGATATATAACCTCGGTAGAAACCATTATGCACGAGGAAGATCATATTACACACTAAGCAGTGTAGACTGGATCAAATTGTAGATTTGAGTTGGGCACTTTGTTCCTTGAAGGCTAATAGGCATATTCCCAAAAGAATAAAGATGGAGCAACAACTGCAACCAAAATCTGTCCCGTCTCAAGGTCCAATTCACATGTCATCTCATTGTTTTTAACCTGGCCGAACAACGATGTCTTAAAGTCTTAAAAATAGTTTTAAGATGGTGCCAACAGGCAACGAGGGGCAGAGGAATTCCTCCAGGCGGCATGCAAGGAATTTAAACGTGATGGAGAGAAAACGTACGTGGGAGTTAACATCTAAGTCTCACAGTGCTGTTGGTTTTTCAGAGAGTGAGAAGATAGGATGACTTGAAGTGGCGGAGAAAAAAACAATAGTGACTCAACCAAGATCACAGGAAAGTGTGGGCGGGGCACTTATAATTTGACTCGAACTGTGTGAGGCTGTGAGTCCTGACAGTGTTTGCTATATAAGGTGTGTATGCATATTACCTGACTCAACTACTTGCAAGTAGCACAGGAGCCCTGGGATTGCATTTTGCTTGAGAGGGCAAAAAACGTCCCATTGTCTGAACATGTTGAGCAATGATGAGAAATGGGCGCATGCTCTGTTGGCTTTTGGATTTGGTCAGACTTGCCTGACCTCAGTGACCTCTGTGATCAAACTCGAGTGGCGGCTGAAGAGTAACTCTGAACCCGTTTTGGTTTTTCAGAGCATTGACCGATCCATGTCAGTGACATGAAGCATCAAAAAGCACCAAACAGCTGCCACTGCATGTACATCACTATCAGCAAGAACAAACATGGGAAAAGTCCTCCTCCTTTTGGTGATGCTGTGCAATCAACATGAACATCATTTTCTACAGTTAAGACATTTGAACGGTTGCTATGAGTACAAAACGGTTTATAAGCAGAACAAAGTGGGACAACAGCTCTTCTGTCTCTAAACTGTTTTTTAAACCTTCCATCCAACGCGCCAGATGTTATTTGTAATGAGTAAAGAAGACAAGCATTTTTTTATCAGATGGATTGTATTTTTGACCACAGCGGGGAGGAAGGGTTTCTAACTTTTGATGTAACAGCTTGTAGAAAATACTCTCTCACAGATGAGAGTATTTTGTGCTGCAGATGACATTCATGAAAAAAAAGAGAGAGTGATGTCCCTGCAAGGAACTGCCTAGTACTCTTTGCTATTGTTTGCCATGTTTGAAGAGGCGTCGCTACCTTCACGTTTAGGTGTCAAGTGAGACATCGGTGTTGTTTGATGTTAAGCCCAATTGTGCGCGTGTGTGTCAGCTTGTACTTACAATCACCTCCACTCTGACAGGGACAGTGCTGTTGAGGGCTGGGTTCCCACCATCTTTAGCCATCACTGTCAAGTGGACCACCCCATCGGGGACCTGCTCATAGTCCAGAGGCCTGGTCACACTGATCACTGATGGAAGGAGGGAGGAGAAAGGGAGGTTACTATTCTACAACTTAAATGTGGCTGGTCTAAACATCCCTGCCCACATCAGTATGGTTTTGTTTCGCTCCTTAAGCTGAGCTCACCTGCGTAGCCCTCCACCATGATGATGCTGAAGAAACTGGGGAAAGCCGAGGTTGAAGTGATGGTGTATGTCAGCACGTTGTTGGGGGGAGAATCCTCATCTGTAGCCTGTGGGTGGGCGGAGATGAGGAACTTTTGAGCGAAGCGCAAAGACTGACGGTGGAGCAGGAGGCCGGCTGCAGCAAACTGGTAATATCATATATGCGTATGTTGGCGTCGCCTGGCTGCGTGTCAGTCTGTGCATATGTGTGCAGCCAGGAAGCCGTCAGTCAGTGACGGTATGTTGTTGGACACATTCTAGCTGATTGTGGTTATTAGTGGTGCAGGTGTCAATACTGGAAGAACACCAACCGAGCCAAGACAAGCTAAGCAGGCAGAGGACAGCTCAAAAATATACTTTACAGGACTAATCCACAATAACATCAACAACAATGATGACACCCCCTCATTATTCTCCAGTTGGCAGGAACTTAAACAAGAGTCCTCCGGCTGTGAGGAGAGTCTGCTGGGCCTCCCTGGCATCATTAAAGGCTGGACAGGTTGTCAAAAACATTCTCTTGTATCCATCCGTAACACACATATCTCAACTCTTTGATTTTATGCCAAAGTGTTGACTAAGCAAGACTTTCCTTCCCCCTCAGTGTCCTAAACTGCAGCTTTTCACCACCAGACTGTTTTGTATTTGCCGACCGTTTCGGACTAAATCTGGAGAGGAGTTGGGGGCAGAAAATAGAAGAAGTAAGAAATCAAAGAAAAAGAAGGTTTAGCTTTTAGAAAGCAGAAGTGCTGTCGTAGGAGGCTTTGTTGAATCAAACAGCCTCTTTGCTTTGACTCACATCCTCCTCTATCTATTTCAGTCTCCTAGAATCCAGAGTGTCGGAGTATGTATGTGTGTGTTTGTTTGTATGTATATAGTATAGGTTCCTGGGCAAATCGCTGACACACACGATTGTGCGACTGGCTTCCCTGGTCCTTTCGGGCGGCACATTAATATCAGCAACATTTGAGGTTCGCTCAGACTAATCAAACATAGCGAGCCAAGCGGTGAGCCCCGTTGCCAGCTCCACCCCCTCAATGTGAAGGGGAGGCGCAGAGTGCACCGTGGAGGGGTAACCCACCGCCTCGAGGGATCCAGTAGTCTCTCCCCAGGGCACAATCAAAGGAAAAGCTGGGCCATTAGTTACCATTGCGCTGTGTACCTCTGCCTTCTGTGTGGCAGTGACTGATGGGCAACACACACGGCTGACCCGTTCTTCTTGGATGCAGCACACACACACACATAACTGTGATTGTAGCAGCACAGAGGAAACAAGGGAGAAGGAGGAGAGCAGAAGCCCCCCAGTAGGTTTACTGGGGGCATTTCTGGGGGGAGATCCTCTCATGCAGGTGTGTATTTAATATGAATGTACTGTAAATGTGAATATGCATATTCAGTATTATTGCAGGTATCTTTCTGTCAGTGCAGTTTTCTGTACCTACTTTTATGTGTACCTTTAAATTAAATTACCTTCAATATTTAGTACGGAAACATAGTTCTTACAGTTGTTACAGTTGTTTCCGTGGTGTTTAACTGTCACTGTAAACATGAATGTTTCACAGACGTCTCACCCGGACTCGTGCCACCACCTGGACGGCCTGTTCGTTCTCTCTCAGCGAGCCAGCGTACGCGTCCTTCTGGAAGAGCGGCGCGTTGTCGTTGACGTCCAACACATTGACACGGACCCTCCCCGTCGTCTCCTCCCCGCCGCCGTCCCTCGCCAGCACGGTCAGCGTGAAACGACGCATCAACTCATAATCCAGACTGTCCCGCAGAATGACCCAACCTGTCTCTTCATCCAATGAAAACCTGCGAAAGTCCAAAAGGTTCGGGCAAGTTGAAACAAAAAGGGTTGATTTGTTGTTATTATGAGAAGACCACCATGTTGAACACACAAAATATTATATGTCGAAAATCAACAAGCTTGGAATAATGCTTTTATCTGTTTGCAGCAGTTTGCATATGGCAAAACAAATTATGCTCAGAGAGGGTAAGCAATAAAAAAATAGTAGTCACACTAACTACGTTCCTTTAAAATAATTAAACAGAATGTGAGTGTGCGTTTTTTCTCTTTTCCTCCATCTGTAAGTCCGACGGAAGGAGAAGCGCCAGACATCGTCGTAGCTCAGCCGTCCCTGGTGAAGCTCTCAGGCAGAAATGATGCAGTGCAATAGTCCACAAGTGGCCAAAATAAAAATGAAAAATGGATGTCAATGTGTGTTTGTGTGTAGCATATCTTACTGGTCTGGCTCGTCACTGAAGTAATAACGCACAATCCCGAATATGCCTGCGTCTCGGTCTGTTGCCTGGATTGAAAACCAGAAAAAAAAAAAGTTTACTTCCTTGAAAGGTTTTCCAGAACATTCAGCTTCTGTTGTTTTTCATCCTTGTCAAACGGTCCATGATCTTTCAAGAGCAATCTACACATGTCATTTCAATGACAAAAAGAGTCAAAATATTGTTAGATCTTTCCTCAACATACATTTGTGTGTGTGTGTGTGTGTGAGGTTAAACAGCATATTAATGATGTAGACTTTCAATGAGTTTTAAATGTCTCACCCAACATCTGTCTATGTCTGTATGTTGATGGCTTTAAGATAACACATGCCTTGCTGGGAGGTGTTGATTGGTTTTAATCTGATAAGATGTGATACATTTCCCTCATCCACATCCCTGCCACTGCCTGAAAAAGCAGCAACAGCTTTTTTCAGGCAGTGGCACAAGTCACATGTTTTGCAGATAAAAAATGGTGGCAGACGAATACCACATAAAGAACAACACTTTCAGGAATCTTGTACTTTATGAAACACCCATCTGTCTTTCTAAACACATGCACGCGCACGTGCGCACACGCACTGCTGCGTACACACAGGGTGGGGGTCGGCGCTGATGGATTGTGGCTGGAGAGGCTGTTGTAATAGAGTTCCACTTCAGTGGCTCTGCAGTCAGTTGAAGGGCCAAACTGGAACGTGTCTGCAGCCCGCTTTGTCAACCACGATGCTGGTCACTGTGATTCAGTGACGCCCCGATGGCGACCCTCATTGTGCACCGCTGTGCGTGTTCGATGGGAGGGTACACACTTTTTACATAGCTGTGACTCATACACTTATGCGCTGAATGATAAGAGTCTGATATGAGAGTTTACACAACAGTAACTGGACTCAAATGTGTGTTAGGTATCGCTCTGTTTCTTCCTGAGTGCAGATGTATGTGTGCACTTTCGTATTCCGTTAGGAAGTATTTATGGTTATGAATGTGTGCACCTATGATGCCTCTCACAGATGGAGCGGCTGCAGCTATCAATGTGTTTTTTCACCTTCTAAAAATGACACCATGCTGTTTAGCTCAAGCTTGTAATTTCGCAGGGAGCTTCCACTACATCGTCCTTGATGGGTAATCGATGGCTCTTTTTAATGTCCAAATGGCCGTCGCTTTGTTGTCAAGTGCAACGAAGCACATCCTGCTGAACGAGTAGAAAGTGCGACGCTAAATACACGCGAGGTGTTTGGAACTCCAGTCAGGTTCTTATATTAACCTTTGAGTTTCCATCTGTCATGTCCCCATGACCTCATCATTTAATGCCACTCAACTGCTTCTCCCCCCTTTTTGCATTCTGATCCGTCCCTCTTCAATCCTACATTCCTCCTCCTTCATCTTTCTGTCTTTATCCTACTTTTCTTCCTGCATCCTAAGCTCCGCCTCCATCTCCCCTCTCCTCTACATATCTCCCATAGCATACGCTTCCCCCTCCATGCCTCCCCTCCCTCCTTTGCTCACTCTTCCTCTCAGGTGAGTGACAGGCCCATAAGTGCCCCAATGATAGCGGTGGGGGTGTTAGCGTGACAGCTATCGAGGCGCTGACAGGAGCTGGGCTCAGCCTGCGAGCTAATACTGCTTCTGCTGCTGCGGCCCGGCCCCTCTGGCATTGACGACACGCAGCGAGGAAGAGAGAGATAGCCGAAGAGAGAGAAGTAAAGGGAGAGAGATGATGGATGGGGGAGGACGAGGCTCGCTATCTCCCACCAAACAATCACCATGACAGTACGGGCCGTTCACTTTGCCAACTGCTTGGCAAAGACTTCCAACTTTAGACAGCAGATGGATGGTAGATGGGTTTGCGCAGAGATTTGCGGTACGTTAACGCAGTGGGCCCGAATCATTTGCACCAGGGTATTATGCATTTGCTCCCCGTAACCGTGGTGTTTCAACCTTTTTTTTTGTTTGGAGAGTTGGAGGAGGTGGAGAAGCGGAGCGCACAGGGAGAGTGTGATTGCTGGATGGAATACGGTAAAATATGACGTAGAAATAGACCTTGGTAACTAAAGAGCCCAATCATCTAACAATTATGACAAGGATTTAAAATTCCGGGATGGATCACAAGGATGCATTATTTTTGTGCCTTATAAGCAGCTAACTGAAACATATTTTTCTCTCCAATCAAATAACAAATAACATTGAGTATGGTGGTCGGACACTGCCGTAGACTAAGATGCTACAGAAGCCTGTTACTTGATCAGCTGTTGTCTCACTGTGAAGAGGCCAACGGATGATACTTTGTAGATGGATACTGGACCCAGACTGCAGTGATACAGATCTCTCCGTGTTAAGGAGGAGGGCCCTCAGGTATCAGAAGCAGTTTACTGATCAAAATCCCAACTAAGTTGTTTCAAAGAGTTTGTGCACAAAGAGTCAGTGCGCTGCTGATTGCCAATATAAACTCTGCAAACCCCAGGCTCCTCAGGCAGTAAGTGCAAAAGAGAAATTAGTTCTCAGTTGACCAGTCTGGTTAAATGATGTGTTTCTCCCTTTCAGGGAGGCAAAGCCTGCAAGCAAAGACTTTTATGTGTGTGTGGCATTGAAGGCATGTATTTGGGTGTACCTGTGTACTGGTACGCCCATTTGTGAGAGGATAGGAGAGTTTCTGTATGCAATGTCTAGTGTGTATGTGGACGCTTATCTTTGTGTGTATGGGAAATAGATACACAAAGAGATGCAAAGTGTTTCCAGGTTCATTCAGTCTTAGGCTAAATACGCGCCTCAACCATTTACAGTATAACCTCTTATTCAACACTCAATTGCTTTCAAGAAAAGGCAGAGATGAGAGCTTCCCCTCACAGGAGACAGATGAAATGTGTGTGTGTGTGTGTGTGTGTGTGTGAGAACCGGGGTTATGTTGGACGAGACACAGCAGCAGATTATCAGCACAGCTATCTCATGGACAGCGAAGGAGGTAAAAGCTGCACAGGCTTTTCCATCGTGAGTGAGCTGGAATTTGAATTGATTGGCTCCTAAAATTGCTTTTTCTGCAGAAGCTTTGAGAGGCATTGAAAAGGAAACCAATTACTGGCTGTCAAAGCCTGCTGTCAAAATAGAGATGACCCCCGGTCCAAACACAGAACACCTCCTCTGTCTCAGTGTTGCACACCTAAACACGATCACAACAGATAACAAGCACACACACACACACACACACACCTAAACACACCACCACACCCACAGTGAAGATGTCCACCTTCTAACACTCATTGTGATAGAGACAGTGATGAGGACATGGTTGTCACAGGTGGTCTTCCTCAGCTCTAGCTGTTTCCACTCATGTACGTCCTTTAAAGTCTCATATTCTCTGGATCCACGACAAAAGCATCTTTTTCTGGAGAACACTAACTTCCTCATATTATCTTAACTGGACTCTAAAAGGAATTATTACACTGAAAGAGGACTGAGTATTTTTGCAAATCAGGGATCTCATTTAGGTAAAAACGTCTACCTTCAGACCACGAAATAAAGTCTGACAGACTGTTTTTAAATTTAAATTAATTTTTTTATACCAAGGAAAAGCAATACATTATAAATGAGAAACAAAACCTGTGCACTTGACAAATACTAGGGAGAAGAAAACACATACGTAAATAGGTGGTACAAAGTAAATGAATAATACATTATATATATATTACGGTATATACTGTATGTACATATGATAATAAAAAACATACAAACAAGTCAACATTATATTCATGGGCTAGCAACTTGGTTTAGGGGGGTAGTTGGCTGGGTAGGGCAGGTCTGAAAGACTTTCAGTCCTTACAAATGTGTTGCATGTTTGTTTTTTTTTCAAAATGTTTGACAAAAGGGACAGGTCAAACTCATTTCATGTCAGATCACAAACAAAACAAAGAATGACACAATACTATAAAGGACACTGTCCAGTTAGTCACATCCCTCTCCTTATGTGGGTCAAACTCTGCAGTCCCCCAAACTGACCCCATGCACCTTTATGGGTGCTGTGTGCGTTTCAACGGCTGACACTTCATGGTCGATGGGGAGCGTACCTTAAAACCGCCTCATTTCTCTTAACTATTACGAGCAGGTGGGGGTGCTCACAGCAACCGCTGCCTGCCGACACCATCGAACAGCCTGTTCATATTATGTCCCGAGCACCCAGATAACAGAAACACAGTGCACAGGGATACAACTTTTAACACTCCTTTAGCAATGCATTTTGTCAAAGAAAAGTCCAATAAAGTGGATGTCTTCACGCATACCGTAACAGCTTGCAATTTAAATTCTACCGCTTGCGTGCATACACAGCCACTACATAATGATGGCAGCCAGTGAAAAAACAAACAAACAGCTGTTGCCTCTGGAATAAGAAGCAAAGAGAGATAGGAGTGTACTGTGCCCATAAGCTGGAGATAGATGTTGAGCTGCCAGTGAAAAGGCCTAATGCTGAGCTCTCTGTGCCTGGAAGCTTCACATTGCAGACAGGCATCGGTGCCCAACCCTGCTTCACCTCTCTTTCTCTGTCCTCAATGATGAAACGATGAGTTTAGTACAAGCACAGGGACCATGTGGAGGCGATAAAGACTGAGGAGTAACTGGAGAGACACTTTGGATACAAAGGAGGACAAAGAAATGGGTGGGTGGATAAACATGGTGGTCAAGAAATGACACAAATTTAGTTTAATAACCAGGTTGAGGAACAAACACTGCGTATTAACCACAACCAAATTTTCATTTAAAAGTATTAAAGCTTCTCCAAACTCCCTTCTCATTGTACCAGCTCACAGCTCCACGGGGCCGATAGTAAACAGACCTCTGAGATCCTGTCTGTTCAACAGGAGCCCTGCACACCTATTCACACCCCAGTCTCTCCATGTCAGATCATCCTAACCATCTATTATTAACAGGGACTCTCTCGGAGCTCCCACATGCAGCCAG